CTTTCCCTGCCCCCAGTGCTGCCTGTTCTTTTAGAAAAGAAAGACAGAATTATGTTAGTTTTCCTTTTGGAGGCTCTGCCTTAATTTGGAACAGCTGCATTGTGAGAAGCTCAAACTGCTTCCATTGTGTTTTATTATTTCTTGTGAAGTCTGATGAAGATGTGAAAAAAACAAATCCAAACTGAAACAACAAAACAACAAAACCCAAAAGAACAACAACAAAAAACCCCAATGCCTGCAGCAAACTGTTTTTCAGATCCAAATGTGCAAGAAAATTTGAGGTTAATGGAGTTCTGACACTCTACAATAACAAGCTCTTGGTATCCTAAGTAGAGCTGATACTTCTTCTAGTGTTCCATGTATTCACTGATCCCAGGAGATTTTTCACATCACTAGGCATTGTATAATTTAAGATATATAAAATATGTAAGAAGGCATGTTTTTTACTGAAATGTGACTAGGGTTGAATGTTGAAAGACTGTTTCACTTATCAAGGATTTTCTGTCTCTAGGTATATTCTTTTATAATGGACATCCAATAAGACAGGTGGATGTTGTCGGGATAGTGGTTCAAATAAAAGAACGAGATGCCTTTTATAACTATGGAGGTAAGAAAAGCTTTTCTTTCTTCTTGCAATTACCAGCCTTTTAGTCATTGTTACCATTAAAACTTAAAAGCTGCCTTATTTAATCATTGTCTGTTCTTGAGAAGTCTGTGCTCTTCCCCTAAATCATGCATGTCTGCATCTCAGACTACTTAGCAAAGTTAGGAAAGCTACCATTTATCTCCACCTCAAAAGCAGAGAAACAAATAGTTAAACCAGTAACTGATTCACTTGAGGTCATCTATAAAATCTTAGTTTTGGTTGTTGCTTTGCCACTGGATTCCTCCATCTTCCTCTTGTATATTTATGCAGTTCCTTTGTTCAAACAGATTTAACAGTGCTTGCAAATGGGAAGTCACTTCTGCCTTTTTTGAACCTTAGAAAAGTTTGTTTTGTTGTACCTTGGAGCCAGCTTTTAATAGCAGTTGGGAGCTCATTTATATTTAGATGTGTAAGCGTCTTAGCAAATCTGACTCAAGCATCATAGTACCAGTCCTTGCCAACACCAGCTGGACTTATCTCCTCCCTCTTGCTTTTCCCAATATTTGAACTTTATTAACGTGGAAACATCTGATTGTTATTTTGTTCAGCTGTCTTTTTCATCTGGAGAAAGAGCAGAGTGTGGAGTAGTTGTGATATGGCAAGTTTCTAAAAGTAGAGGAGGTCATCTCACAGTAGGAAGGAGGGAGCCAAATGTATAGATCCTATTGAAGCACTCGATGGACTCCTGTTCACAGTCTTTCTGGGCCATGGGTTTCAACCTGATGGATGTAAATCACAGCATGCCTCTTCCTACCCAATTCCTTCACTTATAAAATTGAATCAGCTGCAATTCCCTGACTCACAGGAGTATCGTAAAGATACAGTTGACAAGTTAACCAGATCCCAGCTTCCACAATACCTGCAGTTGCATCATAGTGCTGCAGAGTAGCATTAACTGCTAGTGCATGTAGCATACCCTGGACTGGGTGCGGCCACTCAGAGTTGACTCTGTGCTGTATAGAAACGTCTTCGCAAGTTTCTTGGAGTGGATATTGTCTAGGTTTTTTTTTTAAGTCCAATTTCTGGATGTTTTTTTATTAGCCTGCCATTAAGCTAAATAACAAGTTGACAATATTTTGAAGCACAAGTTTCTCTGGCACTTGAAGTAGCACAGGCTAAGCAAGTACCTCAGTTAAGAGGTGGAGATGTAATTGATGAAGTGTTGAAACATAAATTGAATGTCAGCTATTCTTTTATTGCACTAGTATGCAAATGCAGTTAACACTTCATAAGCTCAGAGGAAGGCAGAATCAAAATTACCAAAACTAAAACAATTCTACAGGCAAATGTTTCCTTCACTGCTCTCAGCATTAATTCAGATGTAAACTTGTTGGAAATGTTTGATCGTAGCTGAAATAGGGGGTTGGACTAGATGATTTTTCAAAGTCCCTTCCAACCCCTAAGCGTGTGTGTGAAAACAGGAATAAAAAGCAACTGCAAAGTAGTGGAATGAAGGCCTTAGTGTTAGATCAGCCGACCTTTAAGTACAGCTCTCAGTGGGCCTGGCTTCCTGCTATCCTTTCACATCCAACTCAACTCTTTGTTCCAGCAGTTCCTGGTTTGAGCTTTCAGGCTACCTGCCAGGATGCCCCTCCCCAGCCTGCCCTCCCTTTCAAGCAGACTGACTCCTCCGGCGTAAAAATGTAACTTCTTAGAGAGTTTCCTGCTCATAACTTCTTGCCTCCCTCACTTTAACAGACTCTGGTTGGTGAGTCACAGGGCAGGCATTGCATCAGTTGGAGTGCTGTGCACTGCTCAGTTTTTGCTCACTTTTTATCTGCCTAAAAGTGAATTACAAAGCAGATCCCCCTTTGTACTTTTTCTCTGATAGGGAACTGAAATGTCTTTGTGTCACTGCCACTGTCTCCCCACCTCATTTCCTATCTGTCTGCTTCAGAATATGCACTGCTTATTTTAAGAGAATCTTAGCTCCTCTCTGTGCTGGAAACCACACAGCCAGAACTGGTGACAAAAAATAATTGTGTAAGAGAAAAAATCGACTCTTTCCTGGCCTAAAAAAAATAATAAAATTACATGCTGTGTAAAACCTAATTTTCACATTTTGTTTATTTATTGCTATTATTATCTATTAAATTCTAGCTCTGAACAAGCTCATATTTTAACTAATGCACTTTTCAGAACTTTTTCTTACTTTTGTTTTTAACAAAACATCACATGTTTTTTCTTATAGCACTGAACTGTTTTGAAAGGCTGAAAGGCACTTGTCTTAAAAACAAGCAGAAAAAAAATCTCACCAGGATCTCAGTAGGCTCACGCAGGCCCTACAAAAACCATACCCTTTATGTTATAAGGAAATAAAAATTAACAGAATTCTCTCATTTACTAGGTAACTTTGAGAGTGCTGCCCCTCAAATAGGTAATGTTGAGTCAAAAAACCCGAAACCCCAACAAACAAAAGTTTAAATGCAAGGAGATGAGGAGGGGCAGCACAGGGAGCACAGGAAGTTTTCAAAGACTTGTAGACCCCTTGAGTGTATTTAAAATAGATTAAAATTCTCCTGTCTAATTAGAATACAATTGCAAGAGTTCTCATTCATCTGTGCTTCAAGAGTTTTGTGTTTGTTTTTTTTCTCAAAGCTTTCTTTTGAGAACTAGGAAAACACTGTTTTAGTCTTGCTCTGTTGCCGGCTTCCCAGTGTGGTCAAGAAGAGGTCAGTCTCCTGAACTCCTTTTTCAGCTGTTACATTGACTAGGAGGAGTCTGGCCTCCTTAATCCCTCAGTCTTGTTTGTTTTGTTTCTAAGCCTTTCTTAGGAAGTGTATCTATTGCAGTTGGACAAGCAATCCAACAGCCAATCACAAGCTGGAACATCTAGAAGTTGTAGTAATATAATGGTGAACTGTCATCTGCCATGTTCCTTATTGCCGTTGCTGGCTTGCATGAGTGGTTTGGTGGTATATGGGGGCTCTGAATCCTAGTGAAATGGTTGCTTTTTGCCTATACTAAGGAGAGGAAATCCTACCAGCTATATCATTATCAGTGCTCTGATACAAAATTAAAGCTGCTGAAATAACTGCAAACACAGGAGCTCAAAAGAGGATAGTAATGAGATGACCATTCTATTGTGATGAAATATGGAATTGCTCACATCTTAGAAGTGCTGTATTTTTGTTATTAGGAACATGCAGCTAAACCACTGGGAAACAGGAAGACAAGACAATGATTTTAAATTGGACCCCCCAAGTAGGCATATTGTTTCAAAACATCTGAGACAATGCAAAGGCATTTTGCTTTGATGTTCTGATTCCCAGAGGAAACTGACTGCAGGTACCAATCACTACCTTCTTTGTAAACATTGCCGTTACTTTTGTAGTCATGGTCTGGTTTAACGAGCAGAATTCCAATTTCTGATGAGTGGAAGCTCAGTTTTGGAGACTGCTAAATTCAAGGAACAAGGTTTTTGGAGCATTAGCTGGACTGGAAATGTGATTCTTGCTGTGATTTGACAGACATTTAGTGCCTTTTTAGTTAGTGTTTGTTCGACATACTATTTACATGCCTTGATCTGTCAGCAATTGATTCTTCTGATAGCTTTTAAGTTTTCCTTGGGCTTTGTCTTTTTCTGCTGTCCTTGGCAAAGCAGTGTCTGCAGCAGAAATCACAAAACTTAATTGGATTAGGTACCAATAAAACAGGAAAAGCTAGATAGCTCCTCCGCTCAGGAGAAGCTCTTAAGCTTTTTGGTGATGGAAGTGGTTTGCATGCCACCAGGACATGTACTTTAAGTTGTGAATTCCTGGCCTAGAGCAGAACCACAGGCATGTGCTCTGTCCTTCCTGGCTAGAGGAGCTGCTGTTCTGCTCTCTGCAAGATCTTACTGTACAGCAAAGACCAGCAGACTGTGCACAGTATCAGTGTGGAAACCAATGCAGCTGGAGGTAGCAGCACTCCTAGCCTACTGACTGTACTCCCCAGTGCTGAAGTGCTCTTTTCTCACTGTCACTTCTGTGTTTTGTGCCTGGTTTCCTACTTCATTTTGTTTTGCTTCACCTTTCAACACCTCCTTCTGGCCTTGTCAATGAGATTAAAACCCTTCAGTACCCAATATATGTGGTACAGCCTCATACTTTAAATTAGTGCTTGATCTTGTGCCCTGTGATATGATGAGGAGCAATGGGTTCAAACTTGAGTGCAGGAAGTTCCACCTCAACATGAGGAAGAACTTCTTTACTGTGAGGGTTACAGAGCACTGGAACAGGCTTCCCAGAGAGGTTGTGTAGTCTCCTCTGGAGACTTTCAAGACCTGTCTAGATGCCTTTCTGAGTGATCTGCCCTAGTGGGTTTTTTTGGTCCTGCTCTGGCAGGGAGATTGGACTCAATGTTCATTGGAGGTCCCTTTCAACTCCTAATATTCTGTGATTCTGTGCTCTTTTTGAGAATATATCTGCTATTTTGCTGGGTATGCACATGAGCATGGTGTCTGGCACTGAGCTACTTTTCAGTACTGAAATGACTGTGGAGACTATTTCAGAGGTGCCAGTAGGGGTAGAGCACCTGCTTTCCCTTTCAGACTGGTGGGAGCAAGGTATCACCTTGGCAGGCATCTCCCTACGTATTTGTGGAACTTCACCTTTTAGAACACCACTACCTGCTTTCTTATTCTTCAGTCCTTGCAATATTTTTTTAATTTTTTTTTTTTTTTTTACAGTGGATGATAGTACTGGAGTTATAAATTGTGTTTGTTGGAAAAATCCCATGGTAGCAGAAACATCTTTATCAGGTAATTTATCAAATACATACTCTTTTGCATGTACATTTTTTGCTCATCTCCGTCTTAGGTAATTTAGTAAATGATCAAACTTGCAGAAAAACAAATTCAACTTTTTTTTTTAAGTTATTTTTAAACCACCACATCCTACAGCCTGGGCCATTTTGGGAGTTTCATACAATTTTTTTTGTTGTGTCAAATGGTGACGCCAGCGAAACCACTACATGGTGACTTGTGCCTAGTCCTTATCTGAGTAATATGGTATGGTAGTTCTGTTCTGCAACATTGTTTAGAGAATCCTCTTATTACAGTTCTTTTTGTGACTTCATCTAGTGAGGAGCTGAGCTGGAAATCTGCCACATGTCACTGACTGTTTCCAAAGTAAATCCATTGACCAGATACATTGTCTATGCTCCCCACCCTTGTGATAAAGTGGTTTCAGGATTCATCTTGTCTTCTTTGTTTGCATTCATAGTCTCCTCCTTCTCATGAATATGGTCTCAGTGATGAACTTAAAAATAGCTTAAAACACAGTGGGAGGGTACAGCAGTCTTCTAGATTTTGAGGAAGTTCTAAATGTGCAGAAATTGTACATCTTAAACGAATCTATTTCTGCACTCAGTAAGAGACCAACTCGCTAGTGTCTGGCTTTCTCTTTGCTTTTTTTTCCCAGCATTTCTCATAGATCAAATAACATAATAATGTTCTGCTGTGGACCTTCCTGAAAGCTCATGTAGTAAACTGATAACCCTGATACGAAGCTGATCAAATCCTACTGAAATAAATGCTGCTAGTGTCATCTGCCAGTGTTGGGGTTACACATACACAGAATGGGGAAAGGAAAGCTTGATGTAAAAGTTAAAAACTGTTGTTTATGAGACAAACCCATTTGTATAGGCAGGTAGTTTGTATTTACATTTAGCAATGATACAACAAGTGGTATAAATCATTCCAACTGGAATCTAGAAGACAGCTCTCACTTTTAAAGAGATGATACTGGGATAGCTTTCCAAAAAAAAAATAGGGGCCCGCAATGAAATCAGTTTTTTATGAGGAACTTAAATTCATTAAAGGAATTGCATGAAGCACTGCTTGAAATAGAACGAGGATCCAGAACACTTGTTTCAGCCTTGTGTTCTTACTGGACATGTACATCAGTAATGCTTGAATGGACAATGTTAGTAATGGAAATTAATTAATTTCTACCTGCTAAAGAAAACATGTCCTAGGGGGCACAGGAAACTTTCTACTAGCATTTTGTAGTTGTGATCGGGGATAACTGGGTCATTCATCAGATTGCAAGTTACAAAGAATTTACTCTCCTGCAAAGGTGTGTTACATAAATGTGAAGCCCTGTCAAGCTGCATTTACCTCAGTGTAGACACCAAATTGTGTGTCGCGAATACTTTGGTCCCACCTCAGATGACTCATTCTTCTTTTATATAAAAAGTTAATCTGACCTTTCTTTTTCCTTCCTCTTCCATCTTAGTGTGACAAAATAAAAAAATGACAAAACCATTTTAGAAGTTATGCTTCAATTTTGCAACCTGTCTATGACATTTTCAGTGGTAATTTGGTATTTCCTCCCTTCTACGCTTTCCCCAGGTGAATTATTTAAATAAATATAACACTATAAAGTAACTTTGTCACCCAAAAGTTTTGCTACCCAGGACACATAATGCCTAGGACCTTAACCCTTTTTTATTAATATGACTCCTGTAATGCTTAGGTGTTTGGATGAGTGCAAAAGGACAGTCCTTTTGGCTTTAATGCCTCATCTCCTTTCCCTCCACTTCTTATAGGTTGCCCAAGCACCCCCAGCAGTCTTACTGTGCTTGAACAGATGAAGAAACTCCAAGAAATGGTGAGCCAGAAAACCAAGCTGGAGATTGGGGACATTATCAGGGTCAGAGGTCACATCCGAACCTACAGACAACAAAGAGAAATTCAGGCTTCCTGTTTTTGTGAGTGTTATGGATCTGACATACATAACTTACTTGTTTGAATTTGTGAGATCTAAGATGTTTGTAATTAATTGAATGTTTTCCACTTTATTTTCTGTTGTTTTTCTAAAGACATCTTCATCTGTTATGTCTTTATTTCAATTTTAGCAGCATAAGGTTGGAAGACACACTATATAATGTCTGGGATTAGAGTGCCTGTGAATGAAGCATTCCTGGAAAATCTTTAAAAGATGACTAGCATGCATACAAGAATGCTATGCAGATACTGTGGTTGGGTATCTGTGGGAGTGACTTGCTCTTCCATTTTTTTTGTGTTGAAATAGAACAGCCAAAGCCTGTAGGAAGGGAGTTGGTGACCTTTTATGTCACACATCATCAAGAGTGTTAGCTGCTTTGGATAAATGGTTGCTGTTTGTCACAGCCTGTGTAATTCATTCCATGGACAGACAGCAGCATATGGGCACACTGTGCCACTGAAGCCCAGATTCTGCTAAACTCCCTGGCTCTGCAGAATGAGTGAAAAATGTTCTTCATCTTCAGTCACTTGAGCACAGATCTGCAGGTGCTACCCCTGTAGCTGACCACTCTTCAGGCAGCTGGGTTTTGCAGTCCACTGCTCACACCCTAGGAGCTTCCACTTACATAATGTCTTCTCTCCTCCGTGTCTGTGCTATTGTGTAACATCGGTTTTTCCCAGTGAAACCTTTCATAAACAATACTAAAAGGACTCCTTTGGTGGATGAAAGACTGTCTCTTTAAAACCCTGTGTGGCTCAGATAAAATGTCTAGATTTTTCAGCTCTAACTAAAGTGTGAGAGGGAATTCAACCCTCCTTTCCAGACAGAAGATTTATGAATCTATAACCCATTCAAGGGCAGGTAATAATATCATTGTTTCATTAAAGGAGAGCCACACAATCCAAGAAGCCTCTAAATCACTTCCACTTTGGCCCAAATAAAGCTCCTTACTATGTGTTAACTTCATCTAGTGGATGAAGACTGCTGAAAGGTAAAATAGATTCCAGTTAAATAAGTTGTCAGACAAATGCATGATCTGCAATGCACCACAACAGGTCATTTACCTACTTCTAAACTGTAAAAGCCAGAGAGGCCTTTGTGGTGTTTTTTTTTCAAAATGAGCTAAAAAATTTGCTATATATATAATACAGACATGTCAAGCTCTTTTGTGCTGCTTCAGATATACTGTCTTAAAAGGTTGGTGTGGCAATCTTGGCCAAGAGTGTGTGTTCTTTTTGTTGCTCCAGATAAAGTGGATGATCCTGTGTGTGATATTCAGATTTCAAGAATGCTGGAGCTCCCTTGTCTCTATAGAGAAGTTTATGATAAGCGTTTCCAAGGCCCTGAGGAGGGACAGAGGTAAATGCAGTATCCAGACTAGTCTTGGGACAAAATGTATTGTTTGTTTATTATTGCAATAACTGTAGAGAAAGATAAAATGGGGCCCAACTGTGATTTAGACTCAAATATACAGTAACAGCCTGCTTTTCTTCCCAATAGTTGATGATCCATACAGATGAGGTACTTTTCCAAACATAATCTGAGAAAAGAAATACAATGCTGAACCAAAGTGAATATTAGGAAGGCAGCAAGATACTGCATGCAGACCTCTTGAATTTAGTAAAGAAAACTGGGGTTTGGAGCAAGATTTGGATGTGAGGTCAACAGGTAGATGGAGAAGTGTCCTCACCTGATTTTATGCATAAGGATAAAGAGCTATTTGAAATTCTTTCAACTTCTGCTGCCTGTGTCATCATAAAATCACAAAGAAATTACCTCAATAAACTGAGTCAAATATCCATTCCTGTATTCAGCTTAAGGGTAGCTGGATGCTTATTGGCAGGTCTGATGCATCTAGTGTGATTTCAGACATTGCAGATCTTAAGATTACAGCACTGAAACAGTGAAGGATTGAAGAGGAACAGTTGGATATTTATTGCTTATTAAACTGGTCTGTTTTAATTAGAGGTTTAAATTCAAATTCTTTAAGGACAGTAAACTACCTTTTGACCCTTTGACCTTGAAAACCAGTTTAGCAGACTAACTTTAGGTAATTGTTCTAAAAAATGCTAGTAGTGTATTTCTTGCCTTTTGACATGTTCTGTGCACCCCTGCAGTGGCCTGGAGGGTCAGAATTTCGCAATCAATATGCTGCATGAGAAAGTGAAAAGCTTTCTATTAGAAAACAAAATCCAGACCTTTTATCAACAGGAGTTGGAAACAATTGATACTCTCGTTTCACTTGCTGGTGTGCATCTGCCAAGTCACAGTTGTCAGGAGGTGAGTGAATGCAACTGTTTCAAGTTTTTAGTGGGAGGAGATAATACCATGTGCTTTTTTAAAGCATAAACATTCGGATAAGAGACTGGTGCTTTCAGAGGATTCAAAACCCACAAGTGCTTTAGCTTTATGCATTAATTATTTACAGAAGAAATATTATTTACTGGAGACCTTGTAACTTGAGACATACAAACCTGGACCAAATAAAGCCATATGAGAAATTTCTGTTAAGGGTAATCTCATATTACCACTGAATAACCCTACAGTCTGTAATAGGCACTAACTTATCTAGATCTGTAAATAGTGGCAGTATCAGAAGAGGAGATGCTTTTTAGGTGCTTGAGCTGTTTGGGACACATGTTTGAGATCCAGACTTTGATCACAAGAAGGGAGCACAGTGTCTTTGTCTTGTTTCACATTTGAAGCTCAATGTATTAATAGAGATGTAGCTTTCCAAAGGCGATTATAATGAGTGGATGAACAGTGCTCTCTGGTACATATTTCTCTTCTTGGAAATCTAGTTGTGGCCATGATTGAAAGGGTCAGAAGGTGGGATTCAATTTAAATCAGTTGACATGCAGTTGTGTGTAACCAAACAGTTAAGAAACTTTCCAGTGAGATAATATGCTCTTGATCAACTGCAGAATAGGCAGTGGAACAAAAAACATTTTGTAAAATGGCTTTATGTTGCTGTTATGTTATTTGGATAAATTACAAACCAGATGCTCAACTGATGTGAAGTGATAAATTTCTGCAAAAGTAGCAGCTACGGCTTTCACCATGTTACCAATGGCAACTGAAAGTTAAACCAGAGCATTGTGACTCACTTGTTTACTTTTTGGTTTTCTGTAGAGAAATAAATACATGGCAGTCATTTTAACTGATTCTGTAAGGCTAAGTACTGTCTTATGTTAACATCTGATGTTTGTTTAATTCTTAAAAAACCAACACGAAACAACCACAAACCCCAATCCCTTTTAGATAACAGGAGCTACTCTCTTTTTTGATAGAAAAGTTTCATAACAGAATATCCAACATGGAATGGAGTATTTTTTCTGAAGCAGTATTAAAAGTTCTCAAAAACTCTGCATTAAAAGAAGTAGTGGTCATTTTGCTGGAAATTCCCATCTTTGAAATGTCAGCATTTGTAAAAAGAGCAAGATTAATAACTTGCAAAGCAATTTAAAGTAGGAACTGGTGCAAAACAAATGTGGAAAGGCACCAAAAGAAAAATCAAACTAACAAAAACAATGTCGCATCAGTGTTGTTACCAGTCATGAGGAGCTATCATAATAATTAATAGTTGCTCCTGACCCTGATGTAAGAGTGTGAGTATATGTCCCAGGAATCTGGGCACACAGATGGTTATTTAGAAATTGCAGTTCTCCCTGTCGGCCTTTGGTATTAATTCCTTGCAAAGAGGCTTATATTTCTTTGCATAAGAAAGAAGCTGCAGTTGTCAAGTGACTGGAATGCCTTAAGAGGAGTGTCCTGCCTCTTTAAGGTGTCACTTCCTGTATTTGGGATAGGGTCAAGTACCCTTTTTGAACCACAAAAATAAGTGTAATAGGTCTGATATCTGTCCCTTTTCCTTTCTTTTGCCCTCTGTAGACATCTGTTTTGTGTTAATATTAAACCGAAAGGATAAAGGGTGCTGCTATTGTGGAACAATGTTATTTCATACCTATTTGGCAAGACAGGAGCTAGATGAGTGGACCAAACTCATTATGCCACACCACAATATACACACTTTTTCACTTCTTGCACTTTTCCTGGCTGTGAAAAGATTAGTTATTTGGATATGTAACTTTATTTTTTACACTGATTCCAGTGTTCTAGATCACAGTTACTGTTAAATTCTTTTCTTGACTCCCTCTTCTTTTCCCTGTGATCCTAGATTATGTGGTAGACCTCCTTCATCTCTTTCTCAACTTTTAAAGTACTTGCACAGTGTTCATCCTAGTAGAAGTGTATCTCCCCATGGAACATTTTCTCCAGGGAGGTGGTGAGCTGCTATGGAAGTCATTGGCAGTGGAGCAGAGCAGGGAAGAAGGTAGCTGGGATGACCTGAAGTAGGCAGTACCTCTCTCTTCCTTTTCAGCATTTCTGTACCTGAGCCCTGTCCACATCCCATATACATCCTACAATACCTAGTTCCAGCCATAATGGCTCACCAGCCGTGCAGTCTGGCTCACTAGAATAAATTTCCTTCTAGCAGATGAACATGGCAGAACTCAAATCATGTGTCATGCCCAAAATACACCAGGGAATGTTTAATTTTATAGGCTATAGAGGGTGGGTAAGAAAACGAGACAGGTTTGGTGGTGTTTTGGTTTTTTTTTAAATAATTAAAAAATAACAAATCTGTTATAATTTTTTTAACTAGTGGAGTTTTATTTCATATAAACAGTCTTCTTGTTAAACACCTCTATCCCTGAGGTGTAGCCTTTCCCTTATCCCTTAAAACAAATTACATTTGAGATTGGAGGGGTGGGTGCCACAAGGAAGATGACAAGTGAAAAACAGAAAAGGTAATCTTGTGCTTATGTACTTGCTGGACTTAGACAATTATATTTGGCAAATGGACAAGCCTTTGGTTCCTTTTTTTTAAAGAAAACTACATGTGAACTTCATCCAGTTTCTCAACCTGGATTAAATTTGACTTGCAACCAGCCAGTCTTGATTAACAATTTTAATGCCTTTTTTCCATGTACAAGCCATAGCGTGTGCTGTTTTAGTATTGCATAGCTTGTGTATTTCACTAGCTTGGACACACAACTTGAGTTATGCTTTCCAGACTCTTCACTTCTCTTGACTTAAATATTATCTCAAGGTCAGCAAGGACAAGTAGTTAAAGCAGGGAGTTTTTCAGTGTTGGTCACCCTTACTTTATACCTTGTACAGTAGTTATAGCGCATTATACATTCTTGATGGTATGTTCTTGTCTTCCTGCCTCTTGAGAAAGCTTCACTGATACTTTAAATATGTATATTGTGAGCTTATTATAGGACTTCGGGACTGACATGTCCAGGATCACTATTACTAAAATTGTCGCCTGTCTAAGCTAAGGATTAAACACTGCATGAGAAATTGCAAAGTGCAATTCCATGAGTAGAATCACGTGTGTGGTTATACCAGGAAACTTTAACACCACCAGGGTGTGTTGTGATTCATAATGAGCCAAAGGTTACATACTTTCAGTGTTTGATCAGACTGACTAATTCCTGTACCACTTCATTCTTTGACCTATTATTGATTGTACAGAGAGTTTGTCTTGTTTTAAAGATCTGAGATTAACTGATCACAAAGCACCAGCCCACTAACCTGTGTCAGACCCATCAGATGGAATATATTGATTAAAATACCAACTTCATTCTGGAGACATGGATTCTTCTGTTGTCTTTGCTACAAAGTCTTTGGCTGGTTTTGGAAGGGAGAGTGAGATGGTAAAATTGCTATTTAATAGCTGCTTTTCTCTCCTGGGGGAAAAGGGAAGGGATATGTTTTGAAAAAGTGATAAATGTTTTTTGATGCTCCTGTGTTTGGATGTACAGCTTCATTTATTTGAAAAGGACCTGATTTGGGAGTTGGGGGAACCCCTGCTGTCAGCATTTCAGAGAAGCTGAAATTGTGCACCCTGAAACTAAAGCATGTTGAAGGGGGCACTTTGCAAAATGAGATCTGAACATTGTGAGAGGTAAATTCAAAATCCAGATTCAAATCTTTCTCGTGCTTTGGATCCACAGTTAAACTGTTTAATATCTATTTCTCAGATGAAAAGCTTTGTAAAAGTAAAGTGATGGCTAATAAGCTGTGACTCAGAAGGAGCTATGTTAACAGCAATAGTACATCTTTGTAACTGGAGAAATGCAAGCATTTTTCAATCTCCTGAAATAAAAGCAGGGATGTGAAATCACTTAGGATTTCATAGTCCTAGATTTCTTCTTTCAGTGTATAGCCCTGTGTTCAGTCTCCTGTAGATTTCTGCTCAGTAGACTAAATTACAAGCTTAGGTGCACATTGACTTTGAGGGGGAATCCAAGTCCAGAGGAAATGGCAGCCTGGTCTGGCATAAAAGAAGGAGATAGTGTATTGGAAAGAGGTGCTTTTGACTTATGAATTTGCAGGATGAGATGCTGAAGATGTTTTGGGTGGACCAGAAGAACAGGTTAAGTAATTTTAGGTTGTGTTCACAAAGAAACTCAACTGTTGCTTTACTTGGTGGGATGGAGAGGAGGAAGAATGTTCCAGGGTACATGAAGAAAAAAACCCAAATTTTTCCTGTCATTTCAGAATAATATTAAAGCCCGTGAAGATGGCAGGAGCTCTTATTTGTTGTTCAGGAACATGCCATGGAGCCCTGTCCCTTGGACTCTGCAGCACGTCTGAGACAGTGCTGATATGTAGCAGCTGCTTACTGATTTTCTCACTCCCTAGACTGCCTCTTTGCCTTCATTATGTCAATCCCTTGACTTGCATTCTTAATGATTCTGTTTCAGAATCCATCCAGGCTGAACTGTGTCTCAGTTCACAGAGTCTCTGTTTTTAATTATCTCCCTTTTCTGACAGGATCTCAGTGTTAAGCCAAACTGAATAATTATCATGCTTTGGAGAGTTTTTTTCTTCTCCCCAAATGTTTGCTTTCACATTAAAAATTGATCAGAGGCTTCGTTGCTTTGCTAGCAGTTTCTTAAATTCTTGAGGATGTATAACTGCCTGTGAGTGAGAAGGAAAGTCTAATTTTACATATGGCTACAAGAATGTGCTTTGCCATTAGAAAATAGTCACTCTTCACTCTTCCTGCTGTGTTCTATGTTCGTTTCTTCAGTTCCTCAGAAGAGGCAGTATGAATAGAAATATGATAGTGGCATTAACCTTATAACTGGAATGATGTCCAGATGTACTGTCAGGTTTATGGTTAGAAGTGTGTCTGTTGTTATCCAAACTGATACTGTTGTGGTGGACAGGGGGGCAGACAAATATTGGGGCACTCAAGGCCTTCAGTCTGGAACAGGAGAAAAACAAACAGAGAATAATAGCTATTGTTCTATGTTAATTATCTTAAAGTATTAGACAATTCTTTTGGACTGCCTGTCTATTTGAGAAGAAAAAGATAGTTAACTGTTGCGGGACTGAGAGAGGGAGATAAGGTTATGGCCTGTTGAAATATTGAGGAATAGGTGGAGGAATGGGATGGAGAAACTTGTGACACATACTAACACTGTATCCCTGTGGGATCTCTGAACTGTTTGCAGTTAGGCACATCAGTTTCCAGGCTTGGAAGCATTGAGAAGTCAATGCTTTTGACGGGAGCATTTACAGGGATAGCAGAAGAGACGGCTTGGCAAATCTTGCTTTGGTTGCTCTGGTGTGGTTCTAGTTATCACATGTTGGTTTGTGGGAAGCAATATAGCACTGTTCTCTAAGAAAACCAAAGGGAGCACAGTATGCTCCCAACATAAGAAGGAACAACAATTGAGTAAGTCTGTAGATAAATGGGAGGTTGAAGGACATAGTAGGACAGATAGAGATGGAGAAGAGTAAGTTGTGGTCTTGCTCTTATCTACCCATACTTTCTCCTCTTCACAACTGATTGTTTTCTTCCACTTTCTTATCTGTCATTACACTGTCTTAGCTCTGCTCTACTTCCAAACAAACCTTGCTTCCCCTGTTTTTTTTTCCTCTTCTTCCTTCCTACTCTGTTAGATGTGTCCCAAACACAGAATCCTTTCTTCTAAATAACCTCCTCAGTTATGGCCTTCCAGGCACATTTTTTTCCTTTCACAAGATACTAGTTTCCCACCTGCCCTCAAAACTGACTCCTTCGCTCCCTTATCTTGTATACCTGTCTTAATTTCTTCAATGCTCTTTTGTCCTTTCATCTCATTATGCTTTGCAGAAACTCTTGAGAGCATGACCAGAAGGTGTGTAAAAAATTTGGAAACTAAGGGAACAAAAAACAAATACTGTTCTTGCAAATTTCTTCCTTTTCTTTGGACACTGCTTCATTTTCAAATCAGGAGATGGGAATCCAGTCCACAACACTTGAATTCCTCTTGAATACAAGGCACTGATTTCTCTGTCTTCCTACTGTTTTTACCAGGAAAACTCTGAATATGTTCAAAACTTGATTAGTGGAACAGTGAAATGCTCTGAGAGCATCACAAGCCTATTCTAAAAGAGAGCTCTCTGTACGTAATCATTCAGTTGCTAAATAAAAATAAGGCAGTTAAGAGATTGTGCTTCTTTAAGAATAGCACAATATTCTGGTGTTCAAGGATTTTAAAATATTTTTAAAGTTTGTGGATGTTGTTTAGTTCATACATAACAAATATGATTTGTGAAATATTAAATGAAGAAAAATGTGTAACAATCACCTGAAACACTCTTGCTTTTGAGAGTATCTCGAGATTTTGCCAGTAATATTACTTGAACTGAGATTTCTCACCATCTGCTTCATTCCATTCTTCCCATCCAGGTGAAGTCAAAAAGTCACTGCAGTTCCAAAAGGATTCACAGTCTTTTTAAGGAAGCAATAAAGAAGCTACAAGAGAAAGGCATGGTTTTTCAAAAACCTAGTAGCTCCAAGGACTTATACCATGTAAGGAACTGAGCTGTAGTTGCAAACGAGTTTAGGGGTATGACTTTCACAGTCAGTAGAAACAGTAGAAATGTTTCAGAAAGAGAAGCTGGACATCCAAGTGTTGTCCGTTTACTCAGAAGTCTTATCTGCAGCTTACTTCACTGTTGTTTTTACCTCTCTATCACCCACCAAGTTATTCTTTTTGTAACTCGGCACCAGATTTAAGCAGTGCTGCTGTTCCAGGTGCAGTCTATGTTTGCGGCATTGCCAGTCTGTGCTGACACAGCTGAGCACACCGAAGGCTGGGACCTGGGATAGTTCTCTTCATTGAAGTGGACTGAAACTTGGTGGTGTATTGAGTCAGTCACCTTCCTTTGGGTTGAATTCTGGTATATAATTTTCTTCATCTAACTCATGGATGCTGCTAATGGTACTAAAATAATAACTGAAGATTTAACATTAAATATTAATCATGGAGGCAGTATATAATGCAGAGTGTAGTTATGACATTGTTAGTTTAGAACACATCATAGCTTTGGCTTACTTTTCAAAACTCATGCCATCTACTGTGACATGAACTGCTATAAATTGCCCATTTCTTCTATTTTCTCCAGGTGACTGACCATGATAAGGAGCTGCTTAAAGTGACCCTTGATGTGATAAAAGAAGACTGTCGAAAACCCAGGCGTGAGTAGCAGAGTGGTCAGGGCTCTGATGAGCTGGTGCTGATATATTGATGACAGTACTTCCTCCTGCTGCTGGATTAGACACGTTTCTTGTCCCTACCCGTGAATGCAGAGCAAAGTTGCTGGTGTAGCTAATTGGTATAACTAAAAGCAGGAGTGCAAGAGCAGCTTCCTGCAAGCATGGAGAGAGACAGAGCAGGTGTGCCCAGCAGGAGACAAACCTCTCAGATCTGAAATGAGCAGCCATTATATTAGAACTGTATCCTTTGAGAATACTTAGATTTTGGGAGGAACCAAATGTAATGAAGTTAGGTCAGCACCTTGCAGCTGTTGCATTGCACTCTGGATAAGTAGCAAATCTTGCTAGTACAGTTTCTACAGGGAAGTTGACACAAGTGTGAAAGGTGAACCTTTCACACAAAGGTGAAATCTCCACCTCCGATTAGTCAACAGTAACACTTAAGTCACTAGGATATTCTCTAGGTTTTAAGTTCAAGTAGAGCTCAGGTGGTTGTTCTTTGTACGTAGGTATTTCAGTCTAACGAAATCCACTTCTTTTCAGATAATGTACCTTGTGTGGCTTCTGAGTTACCTCTGTCCCTCAAGTCTATTGTGTCTTATTGCCATAGTGATAGCTTGTGCTTGACTTGAATGTCTGCTAATTACACAGGTACCTTGCTACAGAGTTTCTTTCAATTAATTGGGCAGAACGTGTCAGCAGGGATCACTTGCTTCTGGAGTGCAGTTATTTGTGTGGTAGAGTGCCCTTTAGAATAAATGACTGACTAGAACATAAGGCATATAATCTTAAATTGCACATATCCTTATACTATCGTAACTACAACAGCGCTTAGACCTGCTACATGATCATTATCTTGCAGTGAAAAAAGCCTAAGTGAAGTATTATTTTTGAGTTTTCAACTGGCTACCTTAAGCAGTGGTACGATTGTAGACAAGGTTTGTAGGTGGAGATAAAAGTTCTGTAACGTTGGGGGATGGAGAAAGTAGATATTACTGGGTATGCAGATGAAGATGGGTTTCAGTGCAACAAGTCACTATGCCACATTGTGTGTGTTAATTGGTTAAAAGATAAACATAATCTCTGTAAGAGTCAAGTCATTCTTCTGCCCACCTTATACATCAGCTAGCTCTCCTGGAAATCCATTTTGGTTTTTAATGTTTGTGCCACTATAAAGGCCAGTGTTTGTATACAGTTGACAAAGGACACTGAGAGACTGCCTGGTATTTAATTCTCATTTTGTGTATTATTTAATGCCTCTAAGTATCTAAAGGGTGGGTGCAAGGAGCATGGAGCCAGACTCTTTTCAGTAGTTCCCAGTGACAAGACAAGGGGCAACAGCCACAAGCTGGAACATAGGAAAACTTCTTTACTATGACAGTGACAAAGCACTGGAACAGGCTGCCCAGGGAGGTTGTGGAGTTCCTTTTTCTGGAGATATTCAGAACCCACCTGGATGCAATCCTGTGTGATGGGCTCTGGGTGATCCTGCTTTAGTGGAGGAGTTGGACTAGATGATCTCTAGAGGTCCCTTCCAACTCTGACAATTCTGTAATTCCATCATTATCACACTGGTAAAGTACTGTGTGCTCTGTGAGAGGTTGGGAGGTCCTTTCTCCCAGTCAGGAGGAGTCAAGAGCAGAGACATACTCCTAGATCCATCACAGAAAAGACTTTCAAGAGTCCTGAGTCCTCAAAGCCATGTTTTCCATACCGAGCAGGTTAAAAATAGCTACTGCTTTACAGAGCCTCTTGTTCTCCTTGAAGCTTTCCATCTACTTAGTTTCCTGTTGTAAAGAGGACAATTGCCTTTCAGTTTTCATAATGACCGTTTTAGTGACCTGGTCACTGGTAATAGAAGATTTTGAGGAGGGAAGTCAAGAAGCTTCAATCAAAGCCAGCAGTATTCTGCGGGTATTTCATTGTCACTGAATGATCCAAGAGCACGGAAATCGCAGTAACTGCCGGGCCCCCTCTGCTGGTGGGACGGCAGTCTGAGCCACCCTCTTGGCCCTGAGTAGTGAGCAGGCTTGCAATGAGAAAACAACATGGTAATACCTCAAGGCTTTTGCTTGTTTGTTGAAAGAACTTCCTACCTACTTGTCAAGAGTGACACTAATCCGTGACAGGAAGACTGATTTATGAGAAATCAAACCCTTCTCTTCCAATGAGTTACTTCTCTGCTGGTTTTCAAGGCAGTGCCCCACCCCACTGAGTGAGTTGTAACACATTCTCAGGTCTAACACAGCTGCCTGGAACTATTGTATAAATAAAAAAATCCTCAGCATGCCTAGTCAGAGCTCCACAAACCCGGATCTGTAACATGCCTACGTGACAAACCTAGTTTTTGGCTCCAATTTTAATTCTAAACAGCCTGATCTTAAATGCCCTCATGTGAGGCTCCTGTGGGTCTATCTAGAGGCTTAAGGCAGCCAAAAAAAAGGATGACAGAACATTTTTACTCCAGACTGAACTGCAAATGGTAGATGCAGTCTAGATTTGTTTCTTTTTTCTTTTTTGACTCATTTGCTCTGATTTTAGGCTTCCATAAGGCTAATAACAGAGGACACCCCAGAACCTCTTGAAGTTAAATTTAATATGTCAAAATGGACTCTTTGTGAGATGTCCACCATGGACAAATGGTAGTTGTTGTATAACTGTCCTCTCTGATACTGGTAGTCAGGCAAGACAATCACATCCTGGCTTATCTCAGCTGATGGACAGAAGTTAGAACCTAGTATGTTAATGAAAGGACAGCATCACTCCACTGAAAGGAGTGTATTCCCTCAAAGTTGGGTCATAGACTAGGAGTGTGTCTGGTTACTTAATGATTGTACACTCCTGCAACTACCCTAAAATGCCATTTTCTACCAGCATTTAGGAGGAGAGTATGTATTGCACTGTTGGGTAACACTTGAGTCACTAATCTAATTCAGACTTAAGCTAAGTTACTACAGATCAGGGATGGGCGCTTTGACCTTCTTATGACAAACTTATGACTAATGCAAAATGCAGCTACTCATTTTGTTTGCAACAACAGTCACTGTGACCAGGTAGAGGCATTCTTCTGTTTTCTTCACTTATCCATCCTAAGGTGATAGATGTATTTTTGGTCACCAGCCACAAAGATCTTTCATCACACTGTGGATCACTGTCTTCTAAAAGAACATCTTTGCCTGAATCACAGTCTAATAGCTGAACTGTTTAACTATTGGTACTCAGCATTGCCTCCTATCTACCAGGGAGAGTTTTCAGTTTTTTCTGAGCCATTCCTAGAGTACAGATTGGCAAAAATAAAGCGAAAGGCAGCAACAACAAAATACAGTTATCTCCCTCTCCATGAAAATTCCTCAGGACCCTTATCAAACTTAATTTACACCATGTGAGAGCTGGCTGAGAGCTGAAGAGAAAGAAATTTGCTCTGATGTGTCTCCTCTGTGTTAGTATTCTGTTGTTAGCCATGGAGGAGAATCTGTTGTGGAGTTCAGTACTCAGGGAGACCAAGAGCCTGAAGCACTGATGATTAATGGGTTTGCAGGGTCTGTTGGGGGAAATGCTGAGTGGGACAGCTGAGCTTCAAATGATCATTCCACTAGACACACAGTAGCTATGTTCAATACTGCAGCCATTAAGGACCTTTGTCTCTTGCTTGCCCTCTGGGGAAACGGATTTTTTTTAATTATTTTTTTTTACATTTATGTTCTCTCTTACATTTCCAGAGTTCATTCTTCTTAAAAAGAGATAAAATTCCATACTGAAGCCGTGTATGAAGTCACGGATTCTGCTGTAGTTGTCCGAGTGCTCTGAAATGCGGGGATGGAATTGCTAGGTGAATGAAAGTTGCATTGTAGCAGTTTTTCCACAAGATGCCAGCATTGGGCAAGCAGTTACAGGTCCTGGCCACGGACCTTCTGTTCTAGGCGTTTTTGAAGTTGGGTACGAGCAAAGGGATTTTGATTTGATTTCTTCTGTAGTTGCAGAAACTGGATGGCTTGCATAGATGGACAGTGGAGATACCCTTAAGTTACTAACTTCTTCATTAGGTTGGACTGAACGAGCCCTATATATTAGAGGTTGCAAGACTGAGTATCTTTCACCCTCATTACTAGTTCTACAGCCCCGACACAGCTCAGAAAAGACTTATACCTAGAGAACTGTAGACACAGACTGGATCTCTTCCCTAAGGATGCACACATCTCTGCTTTAGTACTTAGGGCATTCTTCCTCTCCAACAGCTGTGTTTTTTTTCATTACTACTCTGGATTATAGTAGTTAAAAAGAGACAATTAGACTGAAATCTTTCCTTCATGCCTGGCTGCATTTTCCTTTTTCTTCTGCAGATGCTGAAAAAGGCTGCCATTTCCTTCATGTCCTGAGCTGTGTTCGGCAGAGCTACAACCCCTCTGTGACTGAAGCAGTGATGCACCATGTCTTGGAACTTCTGGAAAGTAACAGTGATGTTGTCAGCACTATGGAAGGCTATTACATGGTATTTTAAAAAGAGAAGATAAGATACATTTGTACAGATCCATTCAGTGTAAAGGAGGGAAAAGGAGAGGTTGGATGACCCTGAAGAGCTGCTATTACCTAGAATGGTCTAGGTCTAGGTGGGCAAAAAAAAGCATTCTGATTCTCCAAATGCTGCTTTTGTCTAGCTCCAGAGAAGTTGTCCAAATACCTGTTTTTTAATATTGCTGACTTCCTTGCTACTCCTAGTGGAAGTTCTATCAAGCTAATTCTGAATACCCTAATACAGCAGAGGCACTGGAAGAGAAGCTGGACTCT